ACACCTAGGGATTGCCGCTGTCTTCAACTCTTGCCTGGTGACCACCACCTTTGGACACCCGGCAGCCGGTCACCAGGTTGGAACCAAAGGAGGTGAGGGGACTGCAAAGCCAGGTGCTCCACCTGCTGCCCCCTCACAGGGGTGTCCCGCGATGATATCCCAAGGAGGCCCTTGGAGAAAAAGATGAGGGATCCAAGTAGGGAAATAGCTTCCCCAAGTGCAAACCTCAGCAGAGACATAACAGACCTCTGTTGTCACAGAGACCAGGCGCTTCCCACAGGGCCTGAACTAAAGGACAGCCCAGGTGACCAGGAGCCTCTAGAGCACCCTAAGCAACAGTGCTCCACGCGGGTTCTGGCGATGTTAGGAAAGAAAGCTCTGGGGGAAGGAGGGAGGATTTCTGCCCACTTAGTGAGAGAGGACACCAAGGACAGACAGAGGTCCCTGGGGGCGCGGTATGAATCTGAGTTGTGGGAGAATGAGGGGGGGTCGCTGACCTTTTTTCAAGGCCCCTGTGTAAAAGCCTCTCCTTCCACAGAGTCCTCATAGACCCTCTACGGCTCGCAGCATCTGTCAGGGCCTGGATGCCTGCCCCGCTGAGATCAGCCGCATCCTGCCAGGACCCACGGCTGGGAGCGGGGAAGTGGTGGTCCGCAGCAGGTGCTGGGCGGTGCGAACCAGGCATGCCGTCCCACACATCCTGTGCCCTCCTCTGTCGTCCACATCCTTCTCAGACCAGAGGCCTGGATTCAAGCTGGCAGTCTCTTCCAGGAAGTCCCCCTGGCGCGCCCAGCCCAGACACAGTTTCTTCTCGCCCACTCACCAACCTCACTTCCTGCCTCGGGCAGTCTGGGCTCTGCTGGGCTCGGCTTGTCTGAGACTCACCGGGCTTGAGATGAACCACACAACCTCTCTGAGACAGCCCCACAGCCACCGTGGCCCTTGTGTGCTGGCCTGTGGGACCACTGGTCCCCTCACAAGCAGAGTCCTGCACAGTGAGGAGAGCTGAGCAGAGAGAGACAACTATGAACACCACCACCTGGGCTCCCAGTGGAGCCAAAGATGCCAGCACCCTTCCAGGGGCCAAGTCTTAGAGAACCTCCCATGTCCCCAGAAACTAGCATGAGGAGTGGGGTGACTTAAACGCGAAGGCTCCGGCATCAAACTGCACAGGCTCACATCACAGCCCTGCCACTCTTCCGCTGTGCATTGGGGGCAAGTCGTTCACCGTACTGAATATCAGCGACATTACCCATAAAATGGGAACCACAGGAATTAGGTAAGAGAACATGTATCATGCACTGGGGACGGGGCCTGCCAGACAGAACAGTCTGGAAAACTGCTAGCCATCTATGAGAATATTAGAATCCACAGCACCAAGGCCTGAAGCCTGGAGAGACAGCAGCAGCTCGTGGATAGGATGGGAAGGTTCTGGCACTCCCAGCAGAGGGGATCCCCAGCAGAGGTGGAGGCTTCGAGCACAGCTTCTAAACCTGTGAGCAAGGCCAGCTGGGCAGGTGTGAAGCAGCTCAAAACAACCGATCTCTGCCCCAAACCCCACTACTTGCATTCTTTAGGGTTTGATGCCCTTCCTAGGATCTTTGTTTAAACAGCCAGTTGCCCACCCCTGACAGTTCTGAAGCTTCCACCGGCTTGGAAGCACACGAGCTCCAACGATTCTTTCCTTCGAGGAGTGGGGCAGCCCGGGGAGGAGGTTGGGTACAGTGAAACCCCTACTGGGGGCCTCCATTGGACAGGGCTACCAGCCCCTCCACCCGCTTCCTGATTGGTTGACTCGGTAACAGATGGCCCTGCCAAGGCTGATCTGACCGGTCCGGAGATGGCAGGTGAGGGGGCGGCAGCTGCTAAATGAGAAAGTACCTGGCCCGCCTGGCAGCCGCACCCAGCCTCAAATCCAGCTCCGCAGCACCAGCTTCAACAGGCCGGCCCCACCCAGGGAGCCATGTGGGGAACTCCCTGGCCTGCGGCTCCAGCACCCCACCACTCCACTCTGTCTGACGAAGAGGAGGAGAGGAGGGCACGGGGAGCCCCAGGGGCCCCCGACACACTCCAGTGGTCAGAGAGGAGGGCCCCAAGCCCCAGAGCCCGGAGAGCAGGGGCAGGAAAGAAGACCCCCCTTTCCCCGCAGGCAGAACCCCTCTGTCCTCTCAAAACCTTTCATTGTGCTTATTTATCTAAGTGTCATGGTCACTCCTGCCTGCCAACAGGCAGAGGACCACAAGTGGGCTGGGCAGGAAGTTGGGAGGGGAGGAGACCCTGGCCTCTGCTACAATCTGTCATCCCAATCAAGCTACACGATTTCGGACCACTGACTCCAGTCACAGTTTCCATATATGTGATAAGGATGGAGGGGTTGTGTCTCGGTTGTGGTGGGGTGACTGATGGGGGGGCAGATATGCAAGGGTGTGCCCAGGTAGGAGTAAAACTGAGGGGTACCAATTCATCAGTGAGGACTAGGAGGGGGCACAAGATGTCGGTAGGAGGCGGCCCCCTGCCCCCCATACCTGGCAGGCAGTCCCCTCTAGGTCCTGCCTAGGGGACTGCAGCACGTGCTTAGGAATGGAGAGTGGAATGATGGCACCGGCAGCGGAAGTGGCCTTGGGAAGGAGCCACTGAGTGGGAGCGAAGCCAAAATGGACCACAACAGTGGTCAGGGGCTGAGGGGAAGAGGCTCAGCTCCCCGGGGAGGAGCCCTCCCTCCAGGGCCCCCAGGGAATAGTAACAGCTACAGGAACACTGACCACAGCTCTTCCTGTTTTAGGAGCGCCTGATACAGCGACCTTCAGGCTGAGCACTCTCTGCCATCTGGAGCAACTGCGCCGAGAGGACAAGCCAGGAGAGAGGCCGGCGCCCTAGGCCTGTACTATCAAGAAGGGCAGAGACGGCAGGGAGCAGAAGGTAAGCAGAGAAATGCCACTCTCCTCATCAAGGCTGGGGCCACCACTCACAGTTCAGAAATGATGTTTCAGAAGCAGTGCTAGCGCCATCTTGGAAGATGGTAAAGACCTGCCAGATGGTAGAAACTTCCAGACTCGCCCACTAGACCAGAGGGAGACTGGGGGCAAGACAAGAAAGGTGTTGGAGTGGGAGCCACATCTAATCCATGTCCTCCTAGGGCCAGCTCCTGAAGGTCCCAAGGCAGTAGCCCTAGCCACACTCACCCATAAAGCCCAAGGGGGTATAGCAGGGGAATTTGTTCTAGGCCTGTCCTAGTTCCCAGTCTAGAACAAAGAAAGCACTGGGGCCCTAGATTCAAGAGGAGGTGTTTTAGAAACTGTTGCAGTCAGAAGTTCCCCCAAGTCATTTGTCAGACATAGCATCTATGGAGAAGGGCCTAGACCCAGGCCTGCTTAAAGCTGGTGCCGCCTGGGCCCAAGATCTCTGGCCTCCCACTCCATCCCTGCCTTGCTCACAGCATCTGGAACACCAGAGGGGCTGGTCAGAGCTCAGCCCTGGTCCACAGGGCCAAAGCCTTGGTATTAAGAAGAGGTTTTCTGGCTTCACTTGGCCCCTTGTCTATCTACCCAGACTGCCCCTTACCCCAGTGTAGGTGAGAGTGCTAAGGTGGTGCTGAGCGAAGGGGCAGAGACTCCCCCCCGAGAAGAGCTATTTTCTCCTGAAGGACTCAGAGAAGGCCCCCCCAACCCCATTCCACTGCTGGGTTAGTAGGTGAAGAAGCTGTGCCTGAGATTCAGCCTCACCAGCCCAGCCCTGAGCCTCCTCCAGACACATCATATCAGCCCTCGTGCCCCTAGGAAAGACGCAGGGAGTTGGACCCAGGTCCCTGCTCAGATACTTGCAGACACTGTGCCCTAAATAATTCCTGTAACCTCTCCAGGCCTGCATCAGGCCCTGTACCAATTACTCTACAGGCATCATCTCATTCCAAGTTCACATCAACTCCTTATCTTTCCCCCTGAACAGAGGCAGAAACCTGATTTCCAGAGTCCAGGACCTAGTCCAAGGTCACGGAGCTGGCAAATGCAGGCCAGAGATTAGAGCCACGTCCACAGAACTCTGCACTCAGGCTCATAATTGCAATGTCTGTAAAATGAGATCCTTTGCTGTATTCTAACTTTCCTTGCCATGATCTACCCGTCCAGGTGGCCACTGGCACTAACTGCAGTTGAGTGAAGTTCCCAGTGACAACAGATTCAAGGCATTCTGGGTATGGGGCAGGGTCCTGGGCCCAGAACTAAATGACTTAAGCCAGAACTATGTGGCTAGATCAGCCACCCCCAGAACTCCCTGGATTCCACCTATATCAGTGAGTTCTTGGCCTCCAGGGAGCCTATGATGTGACACAGATAGATGGTTGGCCCGCCCTCTGCCCAGGAACCAGGGTGAGTCAGGCTTGGAGCAGGACCTGCCCCTTTCGACATAGGGCCGGTGACTCAGCTGGAGCCCGTCAGCAACCTCTTGCTCACAGGTGTGCTGGTCACCATCCTTGCCCACCAGCCAGCCCTGGGAGGCTCCCACCCAGCACTCCAGCCCAGGCAGTCAGGGGCCACAAGACAACGCAGCCCCACCCCAAGCCTCGGTGGGGACTCAGCCTCAGGTAGAGGGAAACTCAGATCCATTCCAGTCAGAAGAGCTTCTCATGGAAAAAAAGAAGAGCTTCTCATGGAAGGAACAACCAAGCTGAGTGAGAGCACTCCCCCCCCTTTGGTGGGAACACATAGGCCCAGCCATAACCCGAGTCAGGAGCCACTCCTTCCCTGTTTCCGGGTCCAGCAGACTCTACTCATACTGACTCCACCTCCTTGCTCTCCGGGAGAGAGAGCTTAGCTAGGCTAAGCCTTGTTTTCCCCATCTGTAAAGCGAGGAGTACCAGGAGCCTGACCTTACAGGGGAGTAGAAGAAGGAAAGGAGATACTGATCATAAGAAGCTTAGCAGGGGTCCTGGGTACACAGTGCACCCACAGGCCTCTGCTGTTGGGCCCTCCAGGTCACCCACGGAGCAGTGAGGGGTCACTGACCTTCAGGGCACATTTCTGCCCAGTGCGCCTGTGGAAGCACTCCAGCACCTTGCCGTTCACACCCAGGCCCAGCACCTGCTTGGACAACTGGTAGTCATCGGTCACTGCATACTTCTTGGGCTCCCGCCGCCCCCCGAGGGCAGGAGCGCCGGCTGAGCCGGGTCCGTAGGGTGCACCTTGCGGGGGAATATTGCCCCCCTGCTCCTCTGCTGTCTCGCCATCCATGGCCCCCGCGGGGCGCTCAGAGGCGACCCCAGCCTGGCGCGTCCAGGGCCACCTGGAGGAGAAGGGAAGAATGAGTTCCGCTCAGACTCTTCCAATACACCGCAGCCCGGAGCCCCTGAGCCTGGTTGGGCTGCGGGCAGCAGACAGGGCCGGGAGTGGGCAGCGAACTGTCCGAGAGTACGGACGGGAGGCTGGGGGGGGGCGGTGGTCGCGCAGCCCGGCACTAGCGAGTCCTGCCCGACTCCTATCAAGAGCGGAAGGGACTGGGCGCCGAGAGGCCGCGAGTTCTGGGAGCAGGAGGTGGAGCGAGCCCTATGAGGGCGTACCTGGCAAGAGCGTCCCTGACAGCAGGGTACCTGGCTGGCGCCGGCGAGGGGCAAGGACCGGGGCCCCGGGAACCCGCGGCGGGAGCTCCTAGAGCCGAGTTGCGCCGGCGGCGGCCCACGTGACCGCTCCCCTTTCCCCCCCCCACCCCCCATCCCCCGTGAGTCCTGGACTTGGGGCCGGGCTCGGTCGGCCTTAAAGGGCCAGGCGAGCCCTGGCAGGACAGGGCGGGGAGGGAGGCCCTGGCGGGCCCCGCCCGGGCGCCGGGACAGAATAGGGGGCGTGGCTTCTCGAAGGGGGCGGAAACCTAGGCGCTCGGGACACCCTCGAGGGCTGTGTGAGCCCCGGAGTTTACCAGCGACCTAGGAAGTGACAGTGCAGGAAGTCTAGCTTCTCTCGGAGCCTCAGGAAGCCACTTGAGTTGGGCGTTTTCCCTGCACTCTGCAGACGGCCCTCCAGCAAGGCTTGTAAGGCTTGCTACTTCCTTAGTGGTATCCCACCGCCAGCGTACCTAAAGTCTTAATTTTTGCCATTAGGCCAAGTGAAATGGCACTTCGTTGTGATTCGCCTCTTTCCAATACCTGGGGGCTCTGGGTGTCTCTCACCTTCTGTGCATCTCCTGCTCATATCCGTGGCTTTTTTCCCTTGGGATACAGCGTCCTTAGACCGGATATCCTAAATTCCCATTTTGTCAGATCCATTAACTTTTCATCTTCTACTTTGGGCTTTTGGTGTCCTGTTTAAAAAGTCTCCTCCTCCCACTTCATATACTCTATATGAACGATGTGGTGTTCCCTTCCACTTTTAAGTCTCTATTCTGAGCCCATCTTAGACGATCTTAGGTATTTTGAACCAGTTTTCCCATCACAGGCTGTTAGACAACTCTTATTTCACAGATGAGGAAACTGAGGCCCCCGGAGAGGAAACAACTTGTATAGAGCCGCAGGGGGTGTTGCTCTCTCCTGTGACAAATCTGCATTACTCCTGCACACCCGCCCACTCCTCAACCCTTAGGCTGAGGGACTGGAATGTGGTGGTTCACTTGGGACTGGGAAGGAGAGGCTTGGGTTAGGGTCCCTGCGCGGGCCTCTTCTGCCATCTACAGGCCACTTGTAGGACTGCAGGCACTGAGGCCTCAGTCCTGCCCGGTTCTCTGAGCCCTTCTTCTGGCTTTGGGATTGGGCCCAGAGAGCCTCCCGCCCACCTCCCCATACGCCAACACACACGCACACACGCACACACGCACGCACGCATGTGGATACACGTGGATTCCTGGGCTGCAGGTCCCAGGCTCTTCAGACCAGCACTCCCAGGAGAGCTGGTACTAGGTGTGTGCAGGCGTAGAGCCAGAGGAAAGGACCCAGGGCTCTGCCCTGTCTCCTTGAGACAACCTTAAAGCTAGCAGGGTTTGGTGAAGCAGAGACCCTGATGATGGCCTCAACTGACTAAACCCTTCTTTCGGACCAGACACTGAGTGGGTGTTCTACCGGGGCACTCCATGAGCTCACTGGGACCAGAAGAGGCAGGGCTGTACCCACCCCACATAGCCTACGGGACAGACACGCCCTGAGAGATCAAGCAGCCTGCCTGAGATCAGTAGCTCTCATGGCAGGGTCTCCATCCCAACCCCCAAAGAACAACTCCAGGGCCCCGATCTCACCCTTGAACGATACCCTCCTCTCCTGTGCCTCCCTGCCCCCCTTCCTACCTCCACTTGTACAAATACGCTCTTACATGTGTTCACAGATGCACACACATGCACAAGCGCAGACTTGCACATGTGCCCAGACACATGGGCTTGCACGTGCACCACACGCATACAGACATTTATGCCCAGCAGGACCCAGAACCTCAGTCCCAGAGCCCCACCTGAGAATCTGATCCAAGACCTCAGAGACTTGGAAGAAGCCCTGTGATCTGGAAGCTTTCACAGCTTGGAGACTGGAGAAGGATCCTGCCTCTGGAGGTGACTGGTTTGGGCCAGGTGAAACCAAAGCTGAGCAAGATCTCGTTCTGGACAAGCAGGGTCCCACTCACAAGCAGAGTGCTGGGCAGCTGGCGGGGGGGCGGGGGGGGGGCTTGGCTGGCTCCTTGTCCCAGCCAAATTATCTCAGTATATGCTGCGGTTGTTACCTTGTTTTCTAAAAACAGAATCAGATTACAATTGTTCTAAACATTTTATAACTGTATTTTTTTAAGATTTTATTTACTTATTTGAGAGAGAGAGCATGAGAGAGAGAGAGATCACGAGCAGGGGGGAGGAGTAGAGGGAGAAGCAGACTCCCCGCTGAGCAGGGAGCCTGATGTGGGACTTGATCCCAGGACCCTGGGATCATGACCTGAGCCAAAGGCAGATGCTTAACTGACTGAGCCACCCAGGCGCCCCTAAAATTATATTTTTAAACTGATCTCTTTTTAATTCAAATTTTAATTGCATAAGTAAAACTTGCCTATTATAATAAATTCAAACCATAGGGAAATGTAAGAAGTAAGCAATGGCGATGCCTGTCCCTTTGCGGTCTCCACCACCAATGCCAATGCTTACACAAGCACACACATTTCCCTCGTAGGTCCATCATAGACAGATGTTTTGCAACTGTTCATTCAACCCAAGAGACTCAGAATGCTGCTCATTTTCCAGCAACCACTTGCACACTGATGGGAGAATTCACTGTTTGGGATAGCTGGGCCAGGGCAGGGGTGGGTTCATGGTGTCAGACTTTGCCACACAGCCCTCCATGATAGCTGTTTGTCCAAGGGGCCGAGGGCTGAGGCCTTTGGAATAGCTTACAGTGAGGAAGGGGTCCAGTGAGTGTGTGTGTGCGCGCGCACGCATCAGGCGAGGCTGGGGGGGGCAGTGTAAAGGACTGAATATAGCCCCTACACACACACACACACACACACACACACACACACACACGTACATGTGTAGACTCTTCTGGGAGAGGAAAGGCTGCAAATGATGAGACCAGAGAGACCAAATGAGCCAGACTTTGAGGAAGGCACTGCTGTGTATTATTGTGACTGACCCATCTTGCGACTATTCCTGGTGGGGAGGAGCAGGGAGATCCTGCAGCAAGGCCAATCCCTGGAGTGTGGGGAGGGCTTATCCTGGAGAGAATAAGGAAATGTGTCGAGTGAAACCATGAGAGGAATTGCCACTGGGTGGCATCGTGGGCCCAGCACTCAGAGCAGGGGTGGGTAGGGAGCAGCCAGAGCAGGAGAGGTGATAATGAGATGGCCAGAGGGACCCACAACACCTGGGGCAAAACAGGGGCACACCATAGACCATGCACACAGGTGAGGTGCATTACTCTGTCAAAGTCACCAAAGGTGGTTGGAGGGCAAAACCCTCTGACACTAACTGGCCTGGTGGCAGGGAAGCTTCACTGTGGACCTTAAAGCTGGATCTTGAAGGATGCCTAGGAGTTGTTAGGTCAAGGAACCTGGGGCGGGGGAGGGGCCGCTGGCGTCCAAGCACCAACTCACCATTTGCCAGCTGTGAGATCTAGGGTACATTCTCACTTCTCTGTCCCTCCATCTCCTCACCTGTAAAGAGGACACACTATGTAGTGGTTAGACAATGAATGAGGCTGGAAATCACTGATAGTACATGGCACATCCAAAGTGTTCAGTGAAGGGAAGAGGTCGTCCTGGGATAGAGAGCTTGGGATTTGGCCCCATAGGGACCCAGCTTCAAATCTTAGTTCTGTTGCTTGGCAGCTATGAGGCCCCTTTGTCTTCACAGTAATGGGGCGGTAGACAGTTTCTACTGAAGAGACTGCACCCTACATAGGTGCTCCATGATGGGGTCTCCCATTGCCCCAGCCATCAAATGGATAATGAGGTCGCCACACCTGCCCCATCCCAAGATTGGGATGTGCCTTCTCTCTCAACTCTTTCAGAGAAAACATTCTCGCCTGGATCCTTTTAGCTGTGGTGGATCCTTGACCCCCGCGGACCTGTTCGGATCTGAGGCCCCCCTCTGCACTCCTCCCCTCCTCCCACGTCCTTCTCCAAACCCCACCCGATGCCACCGACTTCCCCACCACCCCACACAGAGTCCGGGGATCGAAATGCGGCCCACAGGGAGCGCTTGCACACCGGACAGACCGCTTTGGGGGAGTCGCTAGCTGGGCGGACAGGCCCGTGACCCTGCCCTTGCGCAGCCATGAGTTCTACAGAGAGACAAAGGGGACTGTCCCCAACGAAACGGAATGCCCAAAAGTAGTCCGGGCTCGGGCGGGTAGAGCCCCTGCCCCTCCCTGGCCTCCTCCAACCGGGTCTTTTCCTACTGGTCTCTAGGTCACGTTCAACCCGGCTCGCTCCTCAGCTTACGATCCCAAAGCTGCAATTGGCCCGCCCCGGCCACTCGGCTCCGCCTCCTGAGCTGCGATTGGTCGGCGAGCGGGACCCCGCCCCATTTTCCTGGAAAGTTCTTGGAAATCTGTCAAAGGTGTTGGCTTTAGCAGCCTTCAGCGCCACACTCGGGAGTCGGCGACCCCGCCCACGCCCCTCCCAGGCCCGGCAGCACAGCCTGCAGTTCTAGGAAGACGTCGCTTCCGGGAAGGGCTGGGACACAGAGGACAAAAGATTAGGCGGCTCGCCCCGCCCTCCCGGCCCGCCCCCCGCGCCCTCCCGGCCCGCCCGCGCGGTCGCCTCTCAGTCCCAGCCCGCCGCCCGAGCGCCCAGGGAGCCTCCCCTGCGAGCGAGACCTGCGCCCACGGGCTCCCTCCAGCCGCCGCCGCCGTCCTGCCGAGCCCCAGCTCCGGAGCTGCTGCTGCCGCTGCCGGGACATGGTCCTCTGCGTTCAGGGGTAAGCGCGGCTCGCCGCCCCCGCCCGGCCTCTGCGGCCGGCATTCCGGGAGCGTACCGCCTCGTGCTCGCTGCGGGCCAGTGAGAGGGCTTGACGGGTCGGAGATGACCGAGTGCGGAAGGACCTCGCGGTGACGACAGGGAGCGGTGTCAACACCGTCACTACCTCTACTCTCACTGTGGGTAGTGAAACTGGGGGTCGGCTGGCGACGGGAGGAACACGGGGTAGCCTAACCCTGGGTTCTGGCTAGAGCAG